ATATATATATATATATATTTTTTTTTTTTTGCTTTTTTGAGAAAACTTTAAGAAGCGCTCAATAGCATTTAATCCACCGCTTATACGCCGAGCTACCGAAATACGAACACTCAGGCAGAAAAAGATAAGTGACAAAAAAAAGAAATGCATATAATATACGCTATTATTCATGAAACTTTCCCAAATAATGAAGTAAAAAACTAAAACAAACGAAAATTCCTCAACCTACTTATTTCCACCACCTGTGAATAAATTAAGAAACGGCAAGATGAGAAAGTCATTCCGTCAAAAACAGTAAAAAAACTTATAACACAAAGTTAATTCCCAAATAGTAATCTCCGTAACCTGGTAAGTGAAGAGGATCTGCAATCTCGCTGCCCTGGCTTTTCTGAAGTCCGTTTGTTTCCCTTTTGTCGCAAAAAATTAAAGATGTTAAACTATCCGATACAACACCTTTTATAAAATCCACCGCATCCATGTTGAAGACATAGAAATTTGGAACGCCAGAAAGCTGTAAAATTGGCTTCTAGAGCATTAATAAATAAAGTTTTATTTCGTTCAATTCTTCAACTTTTTCCCGAAAATGAAAAAGAAGAGTTGGTAGTAATTAGAAAAAGATTATCAGACCAATAATTTTTCCCACAAAATTAAAAACTTTTTTAAAACTGTCATTTGTTAAATGAATCTAATAATACACAGCTTTGAAAAAATAATTTCCTGCAGCATACTTTATTAATTTTAATATTTTCTTTCAGAAAATAAATGCAATCAGGATTTAGATCGTTGGCATAGATAGCACGAATTCGACGACGAGCTGCTGGAAGGACGAATGGTCCCACTCCAGCACAGCAGTCAAATACTACACAATTACTATCAAACTGGTCACAAATGCGCTTATGTTCGGTACTTAAACGAGTATTCCAGAATGTCTGTAAAAATAAGCCTTTTATATATTTACCTATCGGTATTGTTATAAGTGGAAAGATTACGAAAAACATACCTCTTATCCTACGCATTACTGTAAGAAATAGGAAAAGTAATAAAGTGATCATACTAATAAATGATCTTCTCAACAATATCTAGCCAAAGACGAAACAGTAAGAACGTCTATATTGATGATAATATTAATTATAACCTTTGCAAAATCAATTTTAAACGACATCCCGCCAGAGTTTACTGTCGTAATATAGTCTTTATCACCTGCGAGATGGTCAAGCTCGAAAGTTCGAAATTCACTTGTAATCAAATCTAACTTGTTAACGACAGTGCTGCAAATGCCAGTGGTAATCTCCTTTTGAGTGAAATACAAAATTTTTATATTTTATGACGATAATGACCAACCGACAAGTGGAAATTTTATCCCTTAAAATCTGACCCACCACATATTTGTAAGGCAACATCTCCTCACGTAAATTCACGTGCACAATATGACCAGCTTGCGTAAACCCACTAAAAAGCTTACGACGCATTACTGTAACAACTACATTTTAAGGCCATTTCATGAGCCAGTATTCAAAATGGCACGTACAGAACACAGAAAGCATACCGAAAACGTCTCTCAACCTAGAAAAATTGATTCACCGAGTAATCAGCACGGAACGCAATTAAAGAAATGAGGCAAACCTAAACAACAAGCCTTCTGGCAACACTGCACTGATGCAACTCTTAGCACTCCAATCGTTGTAATCAACATCAAAACTGAAGCGATGAAACTGGGGAATGACGCCCGTTACGCCCCGAAGAAATTGAATAATTAGAGTCTTATTTTCATCATTCAGTTTATCAGGATCGAATAAAACGAATTTTTCCAAAGCAGTCCCAGGCGAATCCAC